CGAGACCAATCTCGCCACATTGCATTGGAGAAACCTGGTTGCTCGCCTGCTGCCTTTGGACTATGGCCCCCTTTTAAAAGACTTTATTTTTGCCTGCAGAAAAGCTGTATTCGTGCTTTTCTGCCTGGGGTTCGGTAGATTTGTTTGAATGTGTTATACCCCAGATAGGAATCCCATGGAGCCCATTAGTATGAAACTGACTGTAAAGACTTTGGCTCCATGGCGATTAAACTGTATTCGTGTGGTCTGAGCGCCATTCGCTTAATAATGTGCGCTCGGGCCTGAGCTATCTGGGGATATGTTACATGTCTGTGTTTTATGTAATAAATGTGACTTTATGTATTTTAAAGTGTTTTGTGTCTCTTTGCAACCATGTGCTTAATGGAGTCTTGTGTCTGTCCTGGGGGATAATTGAATTACTTATCTCCAGGATAGAAGACTCTGAAACTGGTTTGGGCCAGAAAGCCATGCTTCATTTAGTCACAAAGGACTTTTTACTAACTTTTGAACCCCTTGTCTGATTTGTGCCATTTTTGAATATGTTGTTCCCCTGAATGGATTGATTGAGAATATGTAATTTTATGTGAATGTGATGTATGGTTTTGGAGTTATGAAAGTTGGGTAGAAAGTATGTTTTAACTGTTTGTATAATTGAGTTTCCTCTCAGGATAAGGGGAGGGAATATGTGGGATGTAACTGTGATATGATTGGTTGTTTTATCCCTCCCTGTGGGTGGTCCTGTATTTGAAACACTGTAATAAAAACCAGGCTGGGTGTGCCAGCACCTCAGACCACTGCTTGACCCTCAACACGGAGCCTTGTCTCGTTCTTGGGGGGATTCACTGTATGCTGTTAGAGACTGATTGCCAGGAGTGTAAGCTGATTGTCTGCTTTTCCTGTTCGTCTGCTAGCAGCTATTTGGGAGGTTCCAGTTCGGGAGTTGGAGTGCTATTTTGTATCCAGTTCGTGAGTTTTGGTGTTCTGCAGTAGCTGTGCCTGGATCTCTGGAAAGGGGGCCGATCGCCTAAACGGTTTTTACCCCTTGTGTGCAAAACGGTCCGTTACAATATCCATTAGATTGTCTGTGAGCCTGTGTATCAATGAGCTTGTGTCAGGGAGATTGTCTTTGTCTGCATGTGAGTATGCTTACTGTATAATTACCCTGAAAAAACTAATATTTTGAATTAGAAAAAAAAATAAAAAAAATATATATTAAACACACACACACACACTAGATAGCACAATGACTTAAGGGGCTGTCATAGATTTTTTTTTTTCCAGGGCTGCTTTGCATCCCCAGTCTGGCCCTACACACACACACACTCACTCATTAGCAGGCACACACACAAACTCCCTCACTAACAGATGCACACACACACACACACACACAAAGCTTACTCACTAGCAGGCACACACACACACACACATACAAGCTCACTCACTAGCAGGTACACACACACAAACTCCCTTAATAGCAGGCACAAACACAAACTCCCTCACTAGCACACACACACACACACACATGCTCACTCACTAGCAGGTACAGGGCTGTATCTACCGCGAGGCAAACTAAGCATTTGCCTTGGGCTGCTCTTTTCGGGGGGAAGGGAGCGTCTGTGTGTGTATGCATCTGCTAGTGAGGGAGCTTCTGTGTGTGTGCGTCTGCTAGTGAGTGACTTTGTGTGTGCATCTGCTAGTGAGTGAGCTTGTGTGTGTGTGTGCATCTGCTAGTGAGGGAGCTTGTGTGTTTGCTAGTGAGGGAGCTTCTCTGTGTGTGTGTGTGTGTGTGCATCTGCTAGTGAGTGAGCTTGTGTGTGTGTGTGCATCTGCTAGTGAGTGAACTTGTGTGTTTGTGTGCCTGCTCTTGAGTAAGCTTCTGTGTGTGTGTGTGTGCCTGCTAGTGAGTGAGCTTGTGTGTGTGTGTTTGTGCCTGCTAGTGAGTGAGCTTCTGTGTGTGTGTGTGTGTGTGCGTCTGCTAGTGAGCGAGCTTGTGTGTGAGTGTGCGTCTGCTAGTGAGGGAGCTTGTGTGTGTGTGTCTGCTAGTGGCGAGCTTGTGTGTGTGTGTGTGTGTCGTCTGCTAGTGGGGGAGCTTGTGTGTGTGTGTGTGTGCGTCTGCTAGTGAGGGAGCTTGTTTGTGTGTCTGCTAGTGAGCTTGTGTGTGTGTGTGTGCGTCTGCTAGTGAGGGAGCTTGAGTGTGTGTGTATGTGTGCGTCTGCTAGTGAGGGAGCTTGTGTGTCTGCTAGTGAGGGAGCTTGTTTGTGTGTCTGCTAGTGAGCGAGCTTGTGTGTGTGTGTGTGCGTCTGCTAGTGAGGGAGCTTGTGTGTGTGTGTGTGTGTGTCTGCTAGTGAGGGAGCTTGTGTGTGTGTCTGCTAGTGAGCGAGCTTGTGTGTGTGTGTGTACGTCTGCTAGTGAGGGAGCTTGTGTGTGTGTGTGTGTGTGTGCATCTGCTAGTGAGCGAGCTTGTGTGTGTGTGTGTTTAATTCAGAACAAGCTATAGGTGGCTATAGGTGGAAGAAAGTGCGGTGCTGCTAATTCACCCAAGTCTATTGTCACAATATATACTTAAAAGTGAGAAACACAGTGAAACCATTGAAGGTGATAAGTGCACACAATAAGAAGAATAAATGACCTCATTTACAAAATTCCTCTTATATGAAAGTAACATATATTACGACTAATAGAGAAATAAATTTTAAAATAACAACATAGTGTAATCTGTATAAATAATTTGTGAGTAAGGTTTAGATTTCAGAACACTCACAAATTTTAGAGCCCATTAAAGTTGGCTCTAGACTTATAGAGCATAGCTGTCTTCTTATGGACACAGGGTGAGTTCCTCCACTGGTTAGGATCCCCAAAAAGTGCACAATTGCTGGAACCAGGAACTCCAATAAGAGGTAGATAAGTTCAAAGAATGTATTACTTAAGTATATTAAAACAAATGCACAACGCGTTTCAACCCCAAACTGGGTCTTCCTCAGGTGCTGATAAATGTCACACTGACATGAGTATCTTTATATATATGTATAAATATTATAATTAATTAATCACACTTGTAAAAAGAAGAAACTCCCATTACCAAATAAGGTCCGAACCGGAAACGTATTATGCTCCTTCCAATTTGGCGACGTTTCCGGTCCGGACATATACTTCCTGTATACCCGCCATATTAGTAACCTTTAACATAAAATGCAATACAAAATACATTTACAAATAAAACACACGGTTTCTTCAAAATAAAAATCGCTGCATAATTTCCGTGTCTTTTCTTGAAGTTCGTTGCATTATTTCTGTTTCATCACTTCCTGTGATGCATTGTGTCCATACGAAAAGGTCCGCAACGTCACTTCCTGTGATGTTTTCTCATAGGCTGAACCCCTTTTACTGGGTTTATATGTCCATAGGTTATCCCTAAGCCAGGGAGTCATTCAGTCCTCAGTGTCCGAACCCATGGACGCCATTTTGGCGAACGCCATCCAGGGGGAGCATTCGCGGATTGCTTCCCACCTTGTTTGGTTCCCCTCCCCAGTGTCCCTTGGAATGATCGCACCAATTAGAACGTTGGCAACTTGCAACAGAAGTGTGAAACCGCAAACAGAAGTGTGAAACCGCAAGGGAAGTAATAATTGAATGCTTCCCTGGGCGGCGGCCAGGGGGAGCATTCGTGTCCCAAAAGGAGACGCTTTCCTTGCCTGGTTTCACTCATGGACCCAACAAACGGAGGCTGTTGGTGGCGGTTACCGTTCTGGGGTCCCTGATATTTATAGAGCGCCGTCAAATTCCGCAGCACTTTACAATGGGTGGACGAATAGACATGTAGTTGTAACCAGACAAGTTGGACACACAGGAACAGAGGAGTTGAGGGCCCTGCTCAATGAGCTTACATGCTAGAGGGAGTGGGGTAAAATGACACAAAAAGGTAAGGATAGTATTAGACTAGTGACAGTTGCAGAAGAGGAATCAGTCAGGAGCTATTAACAGTTTAATTGATACGCTTTTATGAAGAAGTGGGTTTTTAATGATTTTTTGAAGGAGTGGAGACTGGGTGAGCATCTAACGGAGGAGGGAAGCGAGTTCCACAGGAACGGTGCAGCCCTCGAGAAATCTTGAAGGTGAGCATCAGAGGTGGGAGTACGGACAGAAGATAGACGTAAGTCTTCAGCAGATCGTAAGGGCCTAAACGGGACATACTTGTGTAAAAGGGAGGATAGATAGGTGGGAGCAGCATTATGTAGAGATTTGAAAGCAAGAACCAGAATTTTAAATTGAGCTCTATATTTTATAGGAAGCCAATGTAGGGACTGACAGAAGGGTGAGGCATGGGAGGAAGATGAGCCTCGCCGCCGCATTCATTATGGACTGTAACAGCGCTAGTTGGGAGCACGTAAGACCACTGAGAAGCGGATTACAGTAGTCAAGGCGAGAAAGGACAGTGGAATGGACCAACACCTTAGTCGCATATGGCGTTAAGTAGGGGCGGATGCGTGCATCATAATAAGATACTTCCCAACATTCAGAGGTATGAACACTCGGCAAAGGGGAGTGTGCAGCCTATGGGGGCCATCATTGGCTTTGCCCCAAATATGGGTGGTCCGACCTGGGAAGGGGCTGCCTAAAGACTAGGAGAGTACCAGAATAACATAGAGACACTGGTGGCCCCAGCAAGGAATCCGTCTGGAGCACGCTGAAAACCCTACAAGAACTCTTGGGGGTGTGAGTGCGCCAAGTTATGCGAGCAAGTTGCACTTATTGGGTACAATACCCTGGTTTCCCCCGATGATGAGCCACCAGGGAACAAACCTAGAATGGCAGGACAGGAGCCTGAAGATGGCATATGCCCCCTGGATCTGGGACAGTTGGGTGGCATGACATTATCACCCTTAAGATTATATACCTCCATAGAATATCAGTGTCCGGACTCTGGAGAATTCTAGTTCTCCCAGCAATAACTAAAAAGAAATCACGCAGTTATAATTTTACATAACATTTTATTTGTAAAAGGCAATAATACATTTCTAGGAAACTTTCACCAAATACTGTAAAGAAGATTGCATATTAGAACAGACAGACGGAAATCGTGTACCGCTGGTAAGAACAATATCCAGATATAACTGCTTTCAAACACAGCGATTTATTCACAAACTTTCAAAAATTCCTTTTGTCACATTTCCATTTCCAATAACCTGGCATATTCACTGTGAATTGATCTTGTGTTAGTTATTTTATTAATGTCTAGAGAATTGGTTTTAACAGGCGTTTCCTAGTAACATTACTCACAGGTCATTTACACAGGTACATATATAATTTATTTATTCTATGTTGTTTGTGGTTATATTGGGGGGGGGGAATCAGTTCTGCATGGAAATGAATCACTCAGCATAGTCAGCCCTCAAAAGCTAACGTTATTGGGTTTTTTCAGAATATCCCATGGTCACAAACGGCTAAAATGTTTAGGGGTTAACTTGGAGAGAGCTGTGCTGGATGACGCATCTAGGGTGACAGACACAAGAGAGGGCAGAGACATCGGGTGACAGGCTTGAGAGAGACTGCGGACACAACACCAGAAGGGTGACAGACATCAGGATAGGGTGCAGAGTGACGAAGTGATCGAGCAGTGGAGGACCCTTGGATCTATCTCCCCATCACTCTTACTGACAGACACCAGGGCTGTAGGCCTCCATTCAGGCATCACACACCTAATAATAAGGGACGAGGCTTAGTACATAACCGGCCACATCTCTCTGAAAGACTTATTTATACATAGCAAGTACTGCCATTCTGTAATGTGATTCCTACGGCACTTAATTGCACACAATGGGGGTATAATCCCTGGCTGTCCAGGGGGTGGCATGTGGTCCAAGACCCCACTTTGTGCTGATCAATGTCCTGAACATTACACATCTTACTTGGCACTTTGCAATAACACAGCATGTTCCTCTCAATATGTTTCTGCTCTTTTGCCATTTAATAGTTTTGCATGTTTTTTTTTTCTATCTTTAACTTTTTTCATGTTCTGTTCCAATGTCACCAATACTGGATTTCATTCAACAAACCTCGTAGGCTCTCCGAGAGCGGTTTATTTACCTGTTTAATTAACGCAAACAATAGGCTTTAATATTTAATGATGTGATAATTAGCTGCTACCAACATTAGCCCTCTTTTTTTTGTGTAAATTTCTTTTTATTTTTTCAAAATAAAACTTGTATCTGATATGCATTGGTGGGCCTCCCATGTCTCCAGACAATGGACATCACATTGGGACACGCAGGTCCCTTACATTGCAAACACTTGGATCTTGCATCACATTGTAATGGGATAATACATCCTCATAATAACTCAGTTGGTCTCAATGTTGGGTTACATATATTGCTGATAGAGGTATGGTGTAGGATATCCAACTGTCTAACAGTATAAAATAAACATTGTAACAAACTAAACTTACGGGTCTCAGTCACACTATCTGCATTTTGTAAATTCCCTTTCACTTGAAGTTGTTGGCTTTTATTTTTAGATAGGAAATAAAGGTTAAGACTCGCAGGTCCCTTAAAATCTCAAGAAGGGACACGCGGGTCCCAGTACATATATTTCAAGTGCGTGCAACCGTGTTTCAATGTCAGGTATGGTAAGCAACTGCATCATGTAAGGTAAAACGGTGTGACCCCAGCAGCTCAGCTCCCGGTTGGGCGTATGTTTTACGTGTTAGGCAGGCGAGTGCGCCTCGGTGTGGTCACTCTCTGGGCCACACGCCGAGCCCCATGGTACAGGCCCCTTTGAAGAAGAGGATGGAAGAGAAGGAGGTGAAGCAGAAATGAGAGATATGGCAAGGGGAGAATGAGGTATTAAAGCGGGTGCGGATCAGCTCACCCACCTCCCGGTGTCTCCTACTGAGGATCTTCAGGTCCCTCTCCTCCGTGGTCGCGGCAAGCGGGACCCCCTTCCCCGGATATCTAGTCCGGAACTCTTCCGTGACGGCACGTGCCAGCCATGGTGCCCATATGTCCGTGTGCGTCTTGGGCTCAGTACCACAGCTCTTCCATAACCCGTAACTCCTCCATTTTGGTATACCAAAGGGTCAGCGGTGGGGCTGTGTCCTTTTTCCAGCACAAGGGTATTAGATGCTTTGTGATGTTAAGGATGCGAATGGTCATGGAGCGTTTGTAGCAGGATGTGGGGGATGTTGTGTGGTGTAGAAAATAGGTGACTGGCCGGAAGGGTGGAGTGCTATCCGTGAACAGGGCTATTGTCAGGATCGTGACAGGGATCCAACACGCAGAATACAAACAGGGGATAGGTACGTATACCGGACCTTAGAATGGCCGGACTAACGTAAGGAGAAAGCAAAAGAATAGTCAGAGACAAACCGAGGTCGAGGGAACGAGAGATCAGGTAAGCGAGAGACAAGCCGAGTCAAAAGGACAAGAGAGGAAAGCAGGGTCAAAATACAAGCCGAGTCAGGAACCAAAAGACAATAGAGGTAATTGCACTGAGTGACCAGACTAGCTAGAACCACGACAGGGCAATGAATCATTCCACAGAACCCTTTTTTATACCTTGGCTCTTTAACTGTTGGCTCCGCCCCCAACGGGTCCTGATTGGTTGTTCGGCACTTGGTTGCCGTGATTGACGGGTCGGAACGTGATTGCCGTCATGACGTCGGCTACTGAGCGCCGCGTCATAAAAGGAGGCGGAGCTATCGCGGCCGGCGTGTAAACGACCGGGAGGAGTGCAAGGATCGGGTGAGTCAGCCCCCCTGGGAGGATGGACGTCTAGGTGTCTAACCTCCTCCGAGGTAGACACCAAAGGTACCCTGACAGTACCCCCCCTCTCAGAAACGCCCACCGGGCGGAAGGAACCGGGGCGGGACGGAAAACGAGCATGAAATGCCCGGAGGAGACGAGGGGCATGCACATTTTCATGGACCACCCAAGACCTTTCTTCAGGCCCATACCCCTTCCAGTCAACAAGATATTGCAACTTCCCCCGAGAAATACGAGAATCGAGAATGGATTTGATTTCATACTCCTCCTGACCCTCAACCTGGACAGCAAGAGGGGAGGACTCAGGGGAGGAAAATCTGTTGCAAACCAAAGGCTTCAATAAAGAAACATGAAAAGAGTTAGGGATGCGCAGGGCAGGCGGAAGGGCAAGACGATATGCAACCGGGTTAATCCGACACAGAACCTTGTAAGGGCCTATGTAACGAGGGGCAAATTTCATGGAAGGAACCTTCAAGCGGATGTTTCTGGTACTCAACCACACCCTATCACCCGGGGCAAAAACCGGAGCCACCCGTCTCCGTTTGTCAGCGTGTCGTTTGAACACCATGGAATTCTGAAGAAGAATTCGTCGAGTCTGATCCCACAACTTTCTCAGATTGGCGACATGAACATCAACCGACGGAACCCCTTGGGAAGGGGAAACCGACGGAAGAATGGAAGGATGAAAGCCATAATTCAAGAAAAAGGGGCTAGAACGAGTAGAATCACAAACGAGATTGTTGTGTGCAAACTCTGCCCAAGGAATCAGACCAACCCAATCGTCCTGGTGTTCAGAAACAAAACAACGCAAATATTGTTCAATCTTTTGGTTGGTGCGTTCGGCAGCTCCGTTGGACTGGGGATGATAGGCAGAGGAGAAGTTCAACTTGATGCCTAAGTGAGAACAGAAAGACTTCCAAAAGCGGGAAACAAATTGGGAACCTCTATCAGAAACAATTTCAGAGGGAATACCATGTAGACGAAAAATCTCCCTCGCGAATATCTCAGCTAATTCGGGAGACGAGGGCAGTTTAGGCAAGGGCACGAAATGAGCCATTTTAGTAAACCTGTCAATCACCGTGAGAATAACAGTATGTTTTTTAGAAACAGGCAAATCGACAATGAAATCCATAGCCAAACACGACCATGGTCTCTCGGGAATTTCTAAGGGATGCAAAAGTCCACAAGGGAGCGCGTGAGGTTGCTTAGTCTTCATACAGACAGCACATGCCCTGACGAAATCCCTTATATCCTTACGAAGGGAAGGCCACCAGAAATCTTTAGAAATCAGGGAACACGTTTTGCGTGTGCCGGGGTGCCCAGCAATTTTACTGTCATGAAAGCAATGCAGCAGTTCCACTTGGAGCTCAGGAGGAACGAAGTATCGATCCCCAGGAACAGGTTTGGGAGCTAGATGTTGTACTTTCTTGATCTCAGCAAGCAACGGCGAGTGTATCCTGACACAAGTGTTGGCAATAATATTACACTTAGGAACGATAGAAGACAAAGCTGCTTCAGACACCGTAGAGGGTTCATGTTGACGGGACAATGCATCTGCCTTAGAGTTCTTAGAACCAGGTCTATAAGTGAGCACGTAATTGAAATGTGTCAGAAACAAGGACCAACGAGCTTGCCTGGCGGACAAGCGCTTGGCCTCCCCTATGTAAGACAAATTCTTGTGATCAGTCAAAATAGTAACCGGGTATAATGTCCCCTCCAACAAATGTCTCCATTCCTTTAAAGCCATAATGACCGCTAACAGTTCCCTATCACCAATGTCATATCTACTTTCAGGCCCAGATAATTTCTTGGAAAAAAAACCACAAGGATGTAACGGTTTATCCAAACCTAGCCTTTGGGACAAGATAGCGCCTATACCTGTCTCCGAGGCGTCAACCTCGAGTAAAAAAGGCAAAGATGTGTCAGGATGAACTAATATCGGTGCTGAGGCAAAATGTTCCTTGAGAGTTTTGAAAGCAGAGAGAGCCTCTGTGGACCAAGTCTTGGTATCAGCCCCTGTCTAGTCATATTAGTAATAGGAGCAATAATAGAAGAGTAACCTTTAATGAAGCGCCTATAATAATTGGAAAATCCGATAAATCTCTGAATGGCCTTGAGTCCCCTGGGCAATGGCCAATCTAAAATCGATTGGAGTTTAATGGGGTCCATCCTAAATCCGTCTCCAGAAATAGCGTAGCCAAGAAAGTTTATCTGAGATTGGTCGAAGCTACACTTTTCCAATTTGCAGTACAATCCATGTTGTAACAGTTTGCGCAGTACCCTTCTGACTTGTCTGTGGTGAGTCTCAATCTCTCTAGAGTGTATTAGTATATCATCCAAATATACTATAACGCATTCATGCTGAAATTCCCTAAGAACCTCATTAATAAGGTCCTGGAATACTGCAGGTGCATTGCAAAGCCCGAAGGGCATTACCGTGTATTCATAGTGGCCATAACGGGTATTGAAAGCTGTTTTCCATTCGTCTCCCTGCTGAATTCACACCAAGTTATAAGCTCCCCTCAAATCTAACTTGGTAAAAATCTTGGAGCCTTTCAGTCGATCAAAGAGCTCAGTAATTAAAGGAATAGGATAAGCATTTCTAACAGTTATCTTATTCAAGCCCCGATAATCAATGCAAGGCCGTAGAGTGCCGTCTTTTTATCTACAAAAAAGAAACCGGCCCCGGCCGGAGAAGATGATCTCCTAATAAAACCTTTGTCTAGGTTTTCACGTATGTACTCCTCTAGGACTAAGTTTTCCTTAGTGGATAAAGGATATACCGTACCCCTCGGAGGCATAGTACCAGGTAGGAGTCTAATTTTACAGTCGAAAGACCTATGTGGAGGTAAAGTATCAGCCCTCTTTTTGTCAAAGACTGCCTTTAAATCCTGGTACTGTGATGGTATCTGTAAATCTGTAGGTTGGGAAGAGTTAACCGGGGCGTCAACCCTGCAAATTGGTGAGACTTTCTGCACACATCCTTTCTGGCAACCCTGACCCCAGGAGACTATCTCACCCAGTTCCCAGTCAATGATAGGGTTATGCTTCTTAAGCCAGGGATACCCCAAGACTATAGGAACTGAAGGAGATGAGATCAGCATGAGGGATATTCTTTCCTCGTGAAGGATACCAGTGGTTAACTTAATTGGTATGGTTTCACGAAAAATCACAGGTTCAGATAATGGTCTACCATCTATGGCCTCAACGGCCAAGGGTGTATCCCTTAGCTGAGATGGGATAGAATGGTTAGTGACAAAGGCTTGGTCAATAAAGCTTTCAGCTGCTCCGGAATCTATCAAAGCCATAGCATTAAGTACTCCCTTTTCCCAAGCTAAAGAAACAGGTATCAGAAGCCTATGATCTTTATAATCATAAATAGAGGACAAGATAGAAACACCCAAGGCCTGTCCTCTTGAGAAACTTAGGTGCGAGCGTTTCCCGGCCGGTTAGGGCAATTTAGGCGTAGGTGACCTCTAATTCCGCAATACATACAAAGACCCTCCCTTCTCCTGTACTGTCTTTCCTCCTCTGAGAGTCGAGTATGACCTATTTGCATAGGTTCTGGGAGAGCTAAAGTAGTAGAATCAGAAGTCTGAAATGAGGGAGCTAGTCTTATGGAGGATCTGCGGGTTCTATCCCGAATATTCTGCCTCTGTCTCATACGTTCATCTATTCGGGAAATAAATGAAATCAGATCCTCCAAATTTTCAGGAAGATCTCTTGTGGCCACCTCATCTAAAATCTCATCAGATAACCCGTTCATAAATACGTCCATATAAGCCTGTTCATTCCACTTGACCTCTGCCGCCAAGGATCTGAACTCCAAGGCATAATCCACTAGGGTTCGGTTATACTGTCTAAGACGTAACAGTAGTCTAGCTGCATTGGCCTTTCTTCCTGGAGGGTCAAAAGCTCTCCTAAATGCAGCGACAAAAGCATTATAATTATAAACTAACGGGTTATCATTTTCCCACAGGGGGTTAGCCCATCTAAGTGCCTTGTCAATGAGCAAGGTAATTATAAATCCAACCTTTGCCCTGTCAGTAGGGTAGGCGTGGGGTTGTAATTCAAAATGAATACCTATCTGGTTTAAAAAACCTCGACAAGTGTCAGGAGCGCCGCCATAGCGTGACGGGGACGTAACACGGGAAGAAGTAGCCACTGTGGCTACCTCTAGGCCTGTACTTATAGGAGAGATAGATGGGGTACGCATCTCCTCTGAGTGACTACTAGGACGAGATAGCAAAGCTTGCAGAGCTAGAGCCATCTGGTCCATTCTATGATCCATGGCCTCAAATCTAGAGTCAGGAGAACCGACCTGAGAGTTTGTACCTGCAGGATCCATTGGCCCTGTCGTAATGTCAGGATCGTGACAGGGATCCAACACGCAGAATACAAACAGGGGATAGGTACGTATACCGGACCTTAGAATGGCCGGACTAACGTAAGGAGAAAGCAAAAGAATAGTCAGAGACAAGCCGAGGTCGAGGGAACGAGAGATCAGGTAAGCGAGAGACAAGCCGAGTCAAAAGGACAAGAGAGGAAAGCAGGGTCAAAATACAAGCCGAGTC